TTGCAGAATTCTGAGAGATGAAATCCACCCATCTTAAAATGGCCGAGATGAGGAAACACTGCTCTGCACTACAAGGGAAACCTCACAAAAACTATGGCTCTTTTAATAATTTGTTAAAACACTCATGTCTTTTGCACAGTTGCTCCAGCTGTTCCCAACTCTATGTGCGTACATTTGGGGAAGCTATTTTCTCTTGCATGTCATTAATATTTTACGCATGTGATGGTTTGTTCCATCATTATGGAATGTTAGAAGGACAGCCAAACTTATTTTTATTTCTTTATGATCAAAGGATAAAGAGGGATTAGTCTTATATTTACATTCTAAATAAAGCTGCTTTTTGGAGGTTTCCTTCCTCTTCACCTTCAGAAGAAAAAACTAAAATCCTTTGTGAGACAGATCACTCAGCAACAATTGGAAGTGAACGCCTCTCTCCTGCCTACGAGGGGAGGAAGACCTCTTCGGAATCTGAATTTTCAAGTGGCATAAACTTCTGGAGAGTTGGAAGCAACTGATTCTAACCAAGATACAAACGGAGATACTCAGTATCTGGTACTTTCTCCTGAAGGCAACTGAAGCTGCTAAAGGAAAGACAGAATGCCAGGAGGAAAAAGTAGGCAGGACCAGGCCTTCTCAAACAGATGATTTAGGCAAAATGAACATTTAGGCTTGCCCTTTGTCATCCCTGATTTTGCTTTGAATCCAGATTCCTCTCTGAGGGACTTCTCAGACTGTAATCACAAGCAGATTTGAAGAATAACAGAATTGGAAGGTTCCTTGGAGGTCATCTAGTCCAACCCCCTGCTCAAGCAGGAAATAAGGTCTGGGTGGTCAAATGGGTTGAAAGCCAGGTGGCAGGACATCTCTGCAAGACAAGGAGGAGACAGGACTGTGTGGGGAACCTGGCAAAGAAGAAGGAAAGGGCCATTTGGTCTCTCTCTCTCTCTCTCTCTCTCTCTCTCTCTCCCTCCCTCTCCCTCTCTCCCTGTCTCTCTCTCTGTGTATTAATCAAGATGGGAAATAGATGGAGTTGGGAGAGCTGGAATCACCCAGTGCACTAGGCCCACAAGTCACCCACATGTTGGGTGAATGCAGTCAAGGTCCGAAATTAACACTGCTATAATCCTTAAACATCCAGAAAGTTGGATGGGAGCACAGCATCTGCAGAACAACTGCTGGGAGAAAGGACTGTGGGGTAGGCATAAAAAAATCAAGATGGCGGCCACAACCATCCGATCAAAGCTGATTATCAAAGCTTTAATGGCACTGATGTGATTGCCACCTTGATTTTTTTTTAACCCTACCCACAGACCCCCTGCATACAAGCAACAGGAAGAAGAATGCAGCCCATTTATGGCTTTGGATAGCTATTCGAAGAATGGCACATTAGCTCAGCTGCTTCTACTGACAGCAATAACACAGGATGGGTGTTACATAAATTATTATTTTGCAGCAGGGATTCTTAACTGTGGATAGATTTCAGGGGCTCCATGAACTTAGATGGGAAAAAATATCTGAAATTTAGCTGTAGGTTTCACCAGACTCTGAAAGGGATCCATGGCACAGCAAACTTTCAGTGGGCCTCAACCCCACAAGATTTGAGAATCCCTCTTGTATATCTTTGAAGCAAATCTCAGCTTCTGAACCAAGACAGATCTGGCTATGGGCAATCAAATCTTTTAGCTGGATACAAATCTCAATAATTCCTAATCAGCTTTTCTACAGGTAGTTCTTGACTTATGACTGAATGGTCATAAAACAAATGTCCCTTTTAATGACATTTCAGTGGTCATTAAGTGAACGCTGCAGTCATTAAGCAAACTGTTATAAGCTGGTTTTACAGAAAACCAGCATTTATTTCTGGTTATTGGCAAAAGAGGGTGTGTGGTTTTGTGTGTTGCCTGCATCTCACGGATGGGGCTTTGCTTGTTTGTGTGGACTGGTTGCTGGCATGCCACGGCCTGGTAGCGGTCCGTGGACCGGGGGTTGGGGACCACTGATCTAGGTGAAATTTTAATCAATATGGCTAGTCCATGTATGATATGCCATATGTTAAATAAATAGACTGCATGACATGCCAGTTTCCTCTGTAATATATATATAGGTAGTCGTCATCTTACAATAGTTCATTTATTGACTCTTCAAAGTTACAACGGCACTGAAAAGAATGACTTATGACAGTTTTTCACACTTACGACAATTGTAGCACCTGTGGTCATGTGATCAAAATTCGGATGCTTGGCCACTGGTATGTATTTATGATGGTTCACTGTCCAGGGATCAGGTGATCACCTTTTGCAACCTTCTGACAAGCAAAGTCAATAAGGAAGCCAGATTCATTTGACAATTATAGCAAGAAAGGTTGTAAAATGGGGCAAAACTCACTTAACAACTGTCTTGCTTAGCAATGAAAATTTGGGGCTCGTTTGTGATCGTAAATCGAGGACTACCTGTAGCAATTGTTGACTATAAAACAGGATACCGCCTCATTCAGACTAATAAAGGATACACCCAGCATGAAGCACCTTGTTTTAAAAGGACTATAGAAGCATACAGAGAAGCATGAAGAGAAGGACTTAGGGGGGACATGATAGCAGTGTTCCAATATCTCAGGGGCTGCCACAAAGAAGAGGGAGTCAAGCTAGTCTCCAAAGCGCCTGAAGGCAGGACAAGAAGCAACGGGTGGAAACCAATCAAGGAGAGAAGCAACCTAGAACTAAGGAGAAACTTCCTGACAGTTAGAACAATTAACCAGTGGAACAACCTGCCTCCAGAAGTGGTGAATGCGCCAACACTGGAGGTTTTTAAGAAGAGACTGGACAGCCATTTGTCCGAAATGGTATAGGGTTTCCTGCCTGAGCAGGGGGGTGGACTAGATGACCTCCAAGGTCCCTTCCAACTTTACTATTATTATTATTACGATGATGATGTGTGGATTCCACAGAAATCCTGCAGTTCTGCTGTAGGCTTTCTAACCTGTTCAGGGAAGTTGCATTGAGATCCCAACTTATAAAATTCTTAGCACATCTAGAAGGCGCCAGGTTAGGGAAAGCTGCTGTAGCAGACACTAACTCCACCACTCCCAAGGCTGCCTCTGGAGGGATAATGGCGATCGCTCCCCAGGAAATATCTGCTTCCCAATTGTCTTTATGATTACAGATGGACCGAGAGCCGCCTGAGAAGGGAAACTCCAGTCAGCCACTTCCTGAATTGATTTTCCGCTCAGAGTCCCGCAGCAGGAAATGTGGCTGTGTTCCCAGTGTGAAGCCTTCATGCAGACAGGTCTGCCAGGAAGGAGAGAGAGAGAGAGAGAGAGAGACTGGAGAGTTTTCGGTGGCCATGTCCTTTTTTCCCCCCAGACCAATCATATGGGACCCCCAATTTAAAGAATGAAAATAGAACAGAAGAAACAAAATTCCACCCATGCCTTGTTCAAAACCATTTGAGCCCCCCCCCCCACCTCCCTGGAGCTTCACTGAAGAGAACCTCTGCTAATGTTATTGAATAAAACTCAACTGGCTGGCTTCATAAATTGTGCTAGTAAATCTTTTTAAAGTCACAACGGCTGGGGGATAGTGGAACCATTTCAAGATATGGGAAACAATCAGTAAGGAGAGTGTTTCTGGGATTTTTCCCCCTAAACTAGCATCCTGGTTCCTGTAATAAAATTCCCACTCACCCACCCAAAATTTCATATGCAGCATCCAAACACCATAACTTTTCCTTCAAACTTACTAATAAACTCAACTATTTCCATGAATTTGCCTGATCCCTTTCGTGACTATTTGTCTTGAATACAATTCAGTTCCTTTTTAAAGCTTCAGATAATTGTTGAAAACTTTAATCCAGAAGAAATTAGACAGTAAAGTTGGCGGAAGCCACTTAGTCACTTGTTTAGTGGGAGAGTCTAATTATTACATTTGAAGGGACCACTTCAACATGCCTTCTATTCTTCTGCCAAAATCCTCTCTTTACCACCACCAGTACAGCTTCTAACCCTAAATCAGTGTTTTTCCAACTTTGCTGGGGAATCCTGGGAGTTGAAGTCCCCACATCTTAAAGTTGCCAAGTTTGCAACACACTTGCCTTAAATAAAACTCCCATGGCAGCCTCTCCCTTAATCTTCCACAAGCACTTCCACAAGTGCAGAACCACCTTCAGCCTCTGGATGGCGCCATGTGCTGACTAGTTCAGGGCTTTTCAACCAGTGGTACGGGTACCACCTGTGGTGCATTGGCACCTGGCAGGTGGTACGCAACCATCCTAGAAAAGTGGTAGCGGAGCAGGAGAATGAGCTGAACCGGTGGCAGCACCGCACAAGCCTGAGCGAGAGATGGCTGGAGCTGCAGGACTGTCAGGACTCAGCGGAAGCGCCAGGGTGAGCGCTTCTTCGGGGCTGTCAGGGCTCAGTGGAAGCGCCAAGATCAGCGCCAGGCTCCTGCTGGAGCTCGGCGCTGATCCTGGCGCTTCTGCTGAGCCCAGAAGAAGCGCCGATCAACTGGAATGTTGCAGCATCTCCAGGGTCTTGTGATTTACATTCAGATGCTTGGCAACTGATTCATATTTATGACGGTCACAGTGTCCCAGGGTCATGTGAAGTGACCAAAACCTGCTGCAACCACCCAGCAGACGGGGAGGAATAAAAACCAAACACCCCCCTACCCCACCCCACCCCCGCTGCCAATCAACAGAAATGCTCACAACAATGAAAACCTTGGACAGGAGGAAGAGCGCTGCCGGGCGGGCAGGCATCTTGCTCGGCTGTAGCTTGCGGGGCACTTTTTCAGTGCCATTGTAACTTCGAACAGTCACTAAGCGAACTGTTGTAAGTCGAGAAGTACCTGTACTTTATCACTTTTTTCTTTTTTGGGAGGGGTCATCAAGTTTTTGACACCTTGCTAGGCGACTGGTGGTACTTGGATGTTGCCATATCCTAAAAGTGGTACAATGGGTGAAAAGGTTGAAAAGCCCTGGACTAGTTCATGGCTTGTGGGCCTCCTTCATTTGCCAATACAAAAGTCTCTGAAGATGATTGCCAAGAGCTCTTCGGTGCCCACTTGGCCTGTCAGCCGCCCTAGCTGTCGCCGTGCCAGTCGCAGCTGCTCTGCAGCCAACACCAAATCCGTAACCTGGTACTCAGCAAAGTATCTCAGGGCCTCCAGGCACTTCTGCAAGCTAAGCTGGTGACGTGCTTGCGTTGGGCTCGGGGAATCAGTTCGGGGGTCGCCGCACCTGCAGAGTGAGAATATAAGATTTGCAGTTCTGAAATAGATGATTTATTGGCATGTATGAATTATGCTGGGTTGTTACTTGCATATTAACAGGAAATGTGAGCCTCTGAGCATCTGCAGCTGAGATCCACAGAAGAATGCCTCAACAAGATACAAGATCTTCTCAACCTGTGCAGGTAATCTTCGACTTATGACCGTAATTGATCCAGAATCACAGTCATAAGTCATGGTGGTCATTAAGCGGATCATCATATGACCATGCCTGATTTTGCAACCTTTTTTTTTGGGGGGGGGGTCATTAAGCAAACCCATTTTATTCAATGGGTGTCTTTTTTGCCAGAAACCGGCAAAAAACATTGAAAAATCACACTAGTTGTTAAGCAAGGCCTATCTGTATATACGCCTAAGGTTAAAGGTTCTATCTCCAATTCCCAACAGCTTAAATTAAGATATTATCTCAGGTCACATCCACACAACTTCTTTGATGTGCTCCTGTTTGTGTAGCTGGCAGGAAATATTGCCCTTTATTCTGTAGCCACCATATTATCCCACTTACTATACACCCCCAACAAGCCCATGCTGCATTGTTGTCTATACAGCTTTAATGCACAACATTCTAAGAAACATGACTGGCAGTTCCCTCATCAGATATTTCAGCCCCCGCCCAGCATCATCCACCATGTAAAAAATGCAAGTCATGGAGTTTTTAAACATATGTTCCTTACAATATACACATCCACCCTCAATTCTCCCCACTGCCTTTTTTTCTCCTGTTCTCACATGCGTGCCAGCTGTTCCTGCAATGCGTTCAGGAAGGCCACAATCCCATCTCCAGTTTTGCAGGACAACAAGCAGGCAGGGCCTACACCTAGTCTGTCACAGGTCCTCAGGAGATCTGCTTGGTCTTCTTCTCCGAGTAGGTCCATTTTGTTCAGAACCAGAAGGTAGGGCTGTGTCTCATTTGGCTTGTCGGGAGACAGGACATCTACCATGGACATAGTTAAGTGGTCAGGCTGCTGAGCTGCTAGTTTCCCATCCAAAATGACCAGAACAAGGTCTGCATCATGGACCCTACAATGAAATAATAATAATAATAATAATAATAATAATAATAATAATAATAATAATAATAATAATAATAATAATAATAATAATAATAATAATAATAATAAAAAATAATCATCTGCCTATCCCAGGTCCTTGGGAAGGACTCGATAGGTAGACAAAAATGCCAAATCCAGTCTGAACATCTGGCTGACTATGCGATGATCAATAATAATAATAATAATAATAATAATAATAATAATAATAATAATATAACAACAATAAATCACGCTTTAATTCTCTCTTAAGCTACACCCTCAAAAATCCTTGTTAATTTCTAATTATAAACCCTACAAGGAAATAATTAAAAAAAATCATGCTTTAATTCTCTCCTAAGCTACACCCTCAAGAATCGTTGTTAATTTCCTAATTATAAACTTTTGTTCCGAGAGCCATCTTAAGGTTTATTTTAACAGACATCCCCAATGAAAAGATGCAGATCATAAAGAAAATGAAGCTTTTTCCACAATGCAGCCTTAATTATTCCACATATAAAAACAGGGTGGAAAGGAGCTTAATAAATTACCCTCTGGATGTCCACCCCTTCTTCTGTTTTGAGCATGATGATAGCCAGATGTTCTATCTGGACCGCATTTATCCTGGCTCCCAACTGATGGATTTTTCTCCTACATCCTTACCCTGCACTTTGCACTAGGTAGGAAAGCAAGTACCAATCACTTTCCTTTTGTGGGTGTTTGAGGCCATATTATTTTTCACCGTTAGCCCAGTATGCTGGGGAGTTCTGAATCCCTACATCTTAAAGTTGCCAAAGTTGAGAAACATTGGTCTAATTCAGGGGTAGGCAACCGTGGCTCTTTTATGACTCGTGGACTTCAACTCCCAGAATTCCTGAGCCAGCACGACTCAGCTTGGAAACCTCTCCCTTTCCCCTCAGCATGGCTGGCTCAGGAATTCTGGGAGTTGAAGTCCACGAGTCATAAAACAGCCAAGGTTGCCTACCCCTGGTCTAGTTAAACATTGGTCTAGTTAAAAAAAAGATGGGTCCGGTGTTTCCTTCTTCCGTAAGTGAGCTTCTTTAAAAAAAAGTCTAGCTTTTCACTGTTCCACTGGTAAACTTATTAAAAAAGAAAAAAGAAAAACCACCACGGAGGGCAGCAACTACTGACTGCAAGGAAGGGTGCTTTCCTGCAACAGTGCAGAGTAGTTAGTTCTACAGGTAGTCCTTGACTTACGACCACAATTGAGCCCTGTGGCTAAGCCAGGTGGTTGTTAAGCGAGTTTTGCCCCATTTTATAGCCTTTTTTTCTGCCACAGTTGTGAAGTGTATCATGTGGTCATTAAGAGAATCTGGGTTCCCCCATTCACTTTGCTTGTCGGAAACTGGCTCGGAAGATTACAAATGATGATCAAATGACCCCCCGGACAGTGCAACTGTCATAAATACATGCCAGGGGCCAAGTGTCTGAATTTTGATCACATGACCATGGGGAGGCTGCAATGGTCGTGTGAAAACCGGTCATAAGTCAGGGGTTTTTTTTAGTGACGTTGTAACTTCAAATGGTCACTGAACGAATGTTGTTAAGTCGAGGACTATCTATAGTAGACGTGTTTGCCTATCATGAAATTTAGTGCTGCAGGCAAACCAGACATCATTGCTGGGATGAACACAGTGGAACCCCTAGTTTTGATGGGTAGCAGGAAAAAGACAAGACAAGATGGCCTTCCTGGGAGGGGAGGGGGACCAGGGACGAGTAGAAGATGAAGCCATGCACCCAGCCCTCATGTTTTTTGGGATAGTTCTTCATCTAAGAAACCTGCTTGTTGGATGATCTAAATCTGTTTAATTTGGATCCTAGGCTAGGCCTTTGCTTGTGTCAAACCATAGCAGAAGCATACTTGCGACCTGCTTGTTCAGCTGTGTCCCCATGAGGTTGCCTCCATCTCCTACCCAGCCCATGAGACAGGCCCAGATTGTCCATAGAAGGACTGCAGTTAAAGCCAGATTTTCCTCCTTATTCCAACAGGCTCCAAAGGCAGCTTCAATATACGTTAAGACCTGTTAGGCTCTGCCAGGCATTATGCTGGGGACTGGCAATGATTGCAGATGGAGGCCATCAAAGCAGGAAAGAGATTGACAAGAAGGACAGCCAGTTTCATGCCACTATAGGTAGTCATCAACTTACAACCACTTGTTTAGTGACCGTGCAATTTACTTAACAACTGCAGTGATTCACTTTAACAACGGTGGCAAAAAAAGGTCCTAAAATTGGGCGCAACTCACTTAATAACTGCCTTGCTTACCAATGGAAATTCTGGTCCCAACTGTGTTTGTAAGTAAAGGATTACTTGTAAAGTTGGATGGGTAGCACTCTTCCTCAGCAAGGGGGAAAGGCCCTTAAGACAACCACAATTAACCACAACTACTCAGTGAAATCTCTAGAGATAGCTTACCTGTGACTTCTCAGAGCCACATAGCTAACCACTATTGGAAGCTGGAAGTTGGGTCCCCTACTTACATTTCTGTGCCCTGTACTGCAATATTGGTGAAGGGGGGAGGGGTAAAAGATGGCTCCCAATGCATAACCCCCCTCCCATTCTGATCCTCCCCTTCCAAAATTCCTTTCACCTCTGCCGAGCCCGGCTCACTCCTTCCATCTCAATCACATCTGTGGTCTTTCTCAGGCCTGCCGTGTCGCTTAGCACCACAGGGAAGCCGCCAATGTTCAAGGCAGTCTCTACTATATCTCGCGTGGTCCCTGCCACCGGAGAGACGATAGCAGTTGGCTTTTGGCCTAGAGAGTAAAGATTGTACCAGTCAAGAAGGGGAAGACAATGGGTCAATTCACATGATATTCTTAGCTTAGTTTAGTTACAGAATTAACCCACTTGCTCGGTTCATGCAATACAATGAATCATAATCTAACCCAGGGGTCTCCAAACTTGATAACTTTTAAGACTTGTGGACTTCAGTTCCCAGAATTCCTTAGCCAGCCATGCTGGCTGGGGAATATTGGGGAGTTGAAATCCACAAGTCTTAAAGTTGGACAAGGTTGGAGACCTCTGATTCAACCAACTGTCTGTAAACTCCCACAGACTAAGCCAACACCCCAAACACAAGATTAAAAAGATTCACTTTAGAGATCCAGTGATGTAGTAGGGACAATGTTGAACCAGGCCCAGTGAGATCTAGGTCTAATCCACCCATATCCACCAAAGCTCACTCTCTTCCAGCTCAACTTCTGCCCAAGGTTGGAATGAGAAAAAATGGAAGGAGGAGCTATGTATCCCCTTAGACCAGTGGTGGCAAACCAATGGCACGGGTGCCAGAGGCGGCACTCGGAGCCCTCTTTGTGGGCACACATGCCATTGCCCCAGCCTTGCCTCCCCCCACGACCCCCTCCTCTCCAGCAGCCCCCCTGAAGGAGACTCGCCCTCGAGCATGGCCCACACGGAGCAGCGCAGCCAAGGACATGGCAGCCAGGTAGCGTAGACAAGACTTTGCCCTCACACTCCATCATGCAGTTGATGCTGGAAGGTGCGGGCAGAGGGTGTGGCCGCCATAGTGCTGCTGGGCTGCCTGGGCGATCTGCGGCGGGTCCTGGAGACGGTGAGTGGTCCTATGGGCAGGCGGGGCGGGGGATGGGGGGGCAAAGCGGGGGCAGGCAGGGGGGTGGAGTGGGGGCGGGGCCAGTTTTTGGGCACTCGGTCTCTAAAAGGTTCGCCATCACTGCCTTAGACAAACTCCTAAAGAAAGCTAGGGTATAATTCTAAGGAACAAATACATTCACTTAAGCTCAGCATCTTCCCTGAAGCTGCTAGGTTTTAGCTATCTTGGTTAAGCTACATAAACTAATCCAAGCCGTAAGTGTAAACTCTAAATTCCCCAACCCCCTCCCCACCCCCTGGAGACTTTATAAGTGATTGTTGGAAATAAATACTATATTATTCTGATTTGTTTTTGCAGCATGCTCATTTCCTTCTAGATAGTTTTTTTTTTCAATTTAAAATAACATTGGGGGAAAGATAAGCTGCGAGGGAGTAGCCTCGTGTTGGGAATCCCAGCCATTAAGAGTTTCCTGAACCATAAGTGGTTGCCATAACATAAAAAAGGCCAATATGGCTAGAGTTTCCCTTAAACCTAATGGGCAAAATTTTTTCTGAAGGACATCTGAAGATGTTTCCAGCATCTGGAAACCACCCTCCCTAAAATAATTTAAACAAAGAAAAGGGATCTCCCCTTGACTATTTACAGCAGGGGTAGTCAACCTTGGCTCTTTTATGACTCGTGGACTTCAACTCCCAGAATTCCTGAGCCAGTTAAGCTGGCTCAGGAATTCTGGGAGTTGAAGTCCACGAGTCATAAAAGAGCCAAGGTTGACTACCCCTGATTTACAGAATAACACAAAGCTAATTAAAATGAGTCTCCGCAAAAGGGCAAGAAGGAACAACAGGGAAAATTCTTAACACACTTTGAGGTGAAAATACATTTGCTTTGCATATTATTGGTTTGCTCATGGTTTGGTAACTATTCTCATAGCATAATCATGTTGACCTTTAATAGTCTGTCCAAATGAATCTTCCTCTGATGTGTAGTGGAGAGGATTTCGGCTTCTAAAAAAACACCTTTCCTAAACAACAGCTTGCCTTTACCTGCCCATGAGTTTTTATTCATTCAATAGACAACCAATGACCCAGTGGGTCATCCTTTGTCAATATTTATTTATCTAAAGAGATAAACACAGGCAAATGACTTTCAATTTCCTTCCAGCTTCTCCAATGACTTTGCTTGTGCAAAGCTGGCAGACAGTGTCACGTGACTATGACAGCACTGCAGGGGCCTCAAAAGTTTGCAAATATAATTGGTCTGAAGATTCTTAAAATTTCAACTCTACAGGAGTAATGGGTCCTGGATTTGTACATATTCTGTAAGTTGGCATACTTGAGATGCTTTGATTCAAAAATCGCTGGCCTGTGATCCACTGTTTTGGCTAATCAAAGGTTACAAACAGACAGTAGAGTTTTAGTAATATATAAATTTCATTTACCAGTGTAGCGCACCCCATGGGATAGGTTTGAGTGTCCCAAAGTTTGGGAGTTTGAGTGCTAGGGCCATTTGCTATTACCATTCCCTTGTAACGTTTACTAATTTGGGACATTTAGGCAGTTGAGAAACTATTGAGAGTCCTGTAGTTTCTCTTTCTAGCCCAAGACTAGAAAAATGGTACTTTCATCTAAAAAACAGCCCATCTGACAGGTTGGTAGAGTAAAGCAGTGTTTTTCAACGCTTGTAATTGTTAAATGTGTGGATGTCAACTATCAAAATTCTCTGGATTTTGGTGGCTCTGGAGGACCACCAAGATTTTCACCTGATATTCCTTTTCTATTCCATCAGCCTATCAGCCAGTCTATTTTTTGACAGAGGTTTGTCTGTCTTGCAGAAGACTAATAAATAGGCTGACCATTCTCAGTGTATTAAGCAGGATGTACCTATAATGGAAGCAAGAATGGTTTGTAAAAGTAGAAAAGGATGAGATATATAATGAACAGTATCAGTGAAAAATACCTTTAGTTAGATTTCCTTTTCTTTTTCTTATTTCATGTTTTAATTTTTTGTTATTACAATTTCTTATTCCTTTTTAATAGTTGTGTGTAACATTGCTAAAGCTATCTTAGGATTGCTCTTTGTTACTCCAAGGACAGTAGTGTTTTTAAAATGGATTTCCTTGTTATTGTTTTATTTCCTTGAATTCTTTCAGAACAAATCGTAGTATTGTTAATAGTCTAACAATATTATTTTCCGGGGGGAATCTTTTACATGCTCTGTTATTAAACAAAATTGACAAATCAGGAAAAGGACCCTGAACTTTTCAGTAGAAGACATACAGTACAAACAAAGATACATATTTGAGTATTTAAAATTACTTGCATTCAAAGTTACATCAATTAAATTTTGCAGTATACTATTTCTTAAAAAATTGCATTTTGATCATTTTTCAATGCTAAATGGGCGTTATGGAGTATGCAGGCATTAAAATTGATTTTAGAAATTAGGAAGATTTTTACTTTAGAAAATATGGAAAAAAATATTATTATAGTTGGTCACATAGAAAATCAGATGTTTAGACAGGATTTGGCATTTTTATCCACCTATCTTTTTGAAGGACCTGAGATAGGCAGATGCTGTTGTTTGATGGTGTTAAAAGGTATTATCGCAGGATGTAAGCTGTTCCAAGTAAAGCTGCCTTTTGCAACTGACTGATGGAGATTTTGTCATTGCCAATGGTGTTCAAATGGTGCAACAGTTGTTTTAGAATTGCACCCAAGGTGCCTATCACTATTGGCATTATATTTGCTTTCTTCTGCCACAGTCGTTCTATTTTCAGGACTTTGTATTTTGTGATTTTCTCCAGTTCTTTCTCTTCTCTTCTCTTCTCTTCTCTTCTCTTCTCTTCTCTTCTCTTCTCTTCTCTTCTCTTCTCTCTCTAGGCACTGCAATGTCCACCATCCAGGTTTTTTTTGTCTTGCTAACTGACAACTGTTAAGTCTGGGATGCTTTGTGGCAGGTACTTGCACCAGATGCCTTTCTTTTTTTATTTATGTTTGCTACTGTTTCAGTTTGTTTTGTTTAATGAAATAATGGCAAAAAAGCATATTAAAACATGATCACAGCCTTCAGAGAGCTCATGTGGTAACCATTCCTTTGTCTTAATGGTCTCAGCTTTGTTGTTCAGGGTCTTGAGGAGGTTTCTCGTAAAAGGTGACTGATGAACCTTTCAGCAAAATCCTGAAAGACTCCTGTCTTCATCCCTTGACCACTCTCTGACAACCCACTCTCCCATTCCACCATTCACATGTCCCCAGGGCTACTCACACAACTGGTTGAGAAGGCTGCTCTTCCCAGCATTAGCAGGTCCTGCAATGACTACATGGACGCCGTCCCGCAGCCTCTGCCCGCGGCGGCCATCTTGCAAATGCTCCCTCAGCTCCTTCTCCAATGCCTTGACAGTGTCTTCCACTATGGGGAGGAAAAAAAAGACCATCATGGCGGATGCATTGGCCATCCCTTCCTCCCCTGCTTCTTTCCCTCCCTGCCGCTGTTCTGGAGGACTAGGATCTTGAAAGAAATCCTCTGGTTCCTTTCCTGGAGCTCATGTCTAGGAATGATTCTCAGTCATCCAGGTCATGATTATCCCAAAGGTGCTTATCTAAAGGCAGCTGGACTTTCTTGTTTTGGGGTTTCTTCCTTGAAGATGTTTCATTTTTCATCCGAGAAGCTTCTTCAGTTCTGGCTTAATGGTGGGGAATTCCCTATCGTTCAGCCAGAACTGAAGAAGATTCTTGAATGAGAAGTGAAACATCTTCAATAAAGTCCAGTTGCCTTTTGAAAAGCACCTTTTGGGATTTCCTGGAGCTTGTTCACCAAAGGGCAGCTTGGCCTCAGTGAGTTTCTAACAGCAATTTCCAAAGAAAAGAAGGGACACAGGGGTGTACAAGCACTGCAGCACTTATGTGCAAGGAGTGATTAAAAAAACTCAAGGGCTGGCCGTGACTGTGTGATTGAAGCTCTGGCTGCTTTTTATGTGTGTCACGTAAACAGATGCTGCCTTGATTGTGCCGCTGTGGCTGACATCTTGCCTTTTTGACCACACCCTGAGGACACCCCTGAGCAGAAGGAAGACTCACCTTGAGCAAGGACATCGTCCTCAATGTTGTCATCTTCACTGAAGTCGATGTAGGCCTCGAGATGAGCCAGGGTCTGCAGAAGAAAAGGACTGAGAGCTATTTTTCTCCAGGGGGAAAGAAAGAGGAAGAGGGGGAGAAGTCTGCAGAGAAAGGATATTTAAATATTTATGGAATATTTGATGACTGTTCCATATAAATGAGTAATAGTCTAATCTAATAAATGAGTCTGACAGTGCCTTTTCTGATGGGCTAATAATTCTATTAAAAGGCATAAGGTTTTATGAGCTGATATGACCCCCTACATTGGCCTAGTCACTCAATGCATGAAGTAAGTAGCAACTCATAGGGCTGGAAGGGCCCTTGAAGGTTCTCTAGTCCAACCCACTGCCCAAGGCAGCAATCATTATATCATTATATCATCATATCGTCCTCAGGGTCACCTGAGTAGAGCAAGTGTGTGTGGAGCCTTCTTGGCTGCAGGATGTTTTCTGCCCTGCGTCCCTTCACTGTTGAAGACAGGCGCAAGCTGTTGGGGATGAGTCTGTTGCCTGCCTCTCAAACTGAAGTGCAAATGGTTCCTGTAGTCTGCAATGTTTTCTGAAAATCCATTTATACTCCCGCACCCTTCAAAGGTTGTTCATCCTGCAGTCAAGAAGGCTCCACACATATTTGCACTACTCAGGTGACATTGAGGACACAGGTAAACCTCCAAGTGGCCTCAATGACTCTCTAAAAGTATGCAAATGACCAGCTGTCTGTAAGGAGTATAAATCCTTCCATTCCCCACCATCCAGTCAGGGCTGAAGAAGCTTCTTGGATGAGAAGCAAAATGTCTTCAAAGAAAAACAAGAAAGTCCAGTTGCCTCCTGAAAAAGCACCTTGGGACAACCATGACTTGGATGATTGAGAATCTCCACAAACATGCTGTCAGGAAATTCCTCCTTATTTCCAGGTTCAATTTACCTCTGGTAAGCTTCCACCCATTGCTTCTTGTCCTGTCCTCAGGTGCTTTGGAGAATAAATCAACCTCCTTTTCCCTGTGACAGCCCTTTGAGTACTGGAAGACTGCTATCAGGTATCCTTTAAGCCTTCTCTTTGTTGCGCTAAACGTACCCTAGTTCAGAGGTCTGCAAGCTTGACAACTTTAAGACTTGTGGACTTCAGCTCCCAGAATTCCTCAGCCAGCTATGCTGGCTGAGGAATTCTGGGAGCTGAAGTCCACAAGTCTTAAAGTTGTCAAGCTTGCAGACCCCTGCCCTAGTTCCCTTAGCCATTCATTGTATGATGTAGCCACCCCTTTCAATCAAATTTCCTAGTCAGAAAAGGTGCTTCCAGTTTCCTTATTTTTCATCACCACAGACTAACTTGGTTCTCCTTCTATAATGCCTAAACAAAGAATCAAAACAGGTAGTCTTCAACTTATAACAGCTTATTTAGTGACCGTCCAAAGTTACAACAGCATTGAAAAATGTGACTATGTCCGCCTTTCCAGTTATGGCCTTTGCAGCATCCCCACCATCAGTGATCAAAATTCAGAGGCTTGGCAACTGGTTCATATTTACGATCGTTGCAATTTCCTGGATGGGGGGGGGGGGTCATGTGATTACCTTTTGCAGCCTTCTGACAAGCAAAGTCAATGGGGAATCCAGATTCACTTAACAACTGGGTTACTAACTTATCAACTGCAGTGATTCCCTTAACAACTGTGGCAAGAAAGATTGTAAAATGGGGCAAAATTCACTTAACAAATGTCTCACTTAACAGCAGAAAATTTGAGCCCAGTTGTGGTCATTAAGCCGAGGACTACCTCTTTAGGTAATCTTGTACTGTACATTGTGCCAGTTGTTAACTGGGTCATCATATGACTGACTTAATTTTACAACATTTTTTTGCAGCTGTTGTTAAGCAAATCATGGTCATTAAGTGAATCCATTGTCCGTAATGCGTGTTTTTTGACAGAAGCTGGAAGTAAAGGCTGACTTGACTCCTCCCAAAGCCCTAGATCAGAGGTAGGCAACCTTGGCTCTTTTATGACTCGTGGACTTCAACTCCCAGAATTCCTGAGCCAGCCATGCTGAGGGGAAAGGGAGAGGTTTCCAGGCTGAGCCATGCTGGCTCAGGAATTCTGGAGTTGAAGTCCACGAGTCATAAAAGAGCCAAGGTTGCCCACCCCTGCCCTAGATTATAGAATGTGGGAATATGTGGGGTTGAAGGCTATGCTTTATTAATCTACCTTGATGTTTACTATCTTGTGTGTGTGTTTGTGTATGTGTGTGTGTGATTATAACATTTTCAACTCTTTTTATTATTGGACACAATCCAGAGTTATTATGCAGCCAGTTTTAGAAATTTGACAAAAAAATACTATGTTCCAGACAATAAAATGAAGGCATACATAGTATTTATTTTTAAACAAAATCCAGACTTGAAAGAAATGTGTTTCCTTTCCTTCCTATATCGATCCACATTTCAGGGCTTTCCTGCTTCCATATAATGCTTTTTTAGCCTCTCCAAATATTTGAGCCTTTGTTGGTTTACTGTAACGGGTACCTCATTCTTCAGTACAAGGAATTATCAGGTGTGTTTTAGAACAGAGTTTTTCAAACTTGGAAATTTAAAATGTGTGGATTTCAATTTGCAGATTTTCCTGGCCAGCAGTAGCTGAACAGTTCTGCAAGTTGAAATCCATGCAAGTTAAAGTTGCAAAGTTTGAAAAGCCCTGCTCTAGAGCAGGGCTTTTCAACCAGTGGTACGGGTACCACTTGTGGTACATTGGCACCTGGCAGGTGGTACGTGACCATCCTAGAAAAGTGGTAGCTGGGGAGGGGAATGAGCTGAACCAGTGGCACACCGCACAAGCCTAAGCAAGAGATGGCTGGAGCTGCAGGGATGTCAGGGCTCAACGGAAGCGCCAGGATCAATGCTGCTTTCCAGCTGATCGGCGCTTCTTCGAGACTGTCAGGGCTCAGTGGAAGCGCCAGGATCAGCGCCAGGCTCCAGCTGGAGCTCAGTGCTCATCCTGGTGCTTCTGCTGAGCCCTGAAGAAGCACCAATCAGCTGGAAAGCAGCGCTGATCCTGGCGCTTCTGCTGAGCCCAGAAGAAGCGCCAATCAGCTGGAATGTTGCAGCATCTCCAGGGTCTTGTGATTTACATTCAGATGCTTGGCAACTGATTCATATTTATGATGGTCACAGTGTCCCAGGGTCATGTGAAGTGACCAAAACCTGCTGCAACCACCCAGCAGACGCGGGGAATAAAAACCAAACACCCTCACCCCACCCCCGCTATTTTTTTATTTTTTTTTGGTCATCAAGTTTTTGACACCTTGCTAGGCGACTGGTGGTCCTCGGATATTGCCATATCCTAAAAGTGGTACAATGGGTGAAAAGGTTGAAAAGCCCTGCTCTAGAGTACCAAGTAAGAGGGTGAAAGAGATATGCACCACATAGAACATAGTATAACAGGGCTGGAAGAGACCTTGGAGGTCTTCTAGTCCAAACTCCTGTTCGAGCAGGAGATCTAGGTTCCAGACGAATGATTGTCCAATCTTTCCTTCATGAGCCGGCAATAAAAATTGAAAGTTGGTGGTATCTCAGACAGGCTTGGACAATGCTAGTTACTGATTGATCTCCCTCCTTTCCTCTTAAATACTAATAATAATTACAACAGAGAATCCAAAAATAACATCAAAAACAGAAAATAAAACCAACGTACACCTTGCCAATAGTTAAAGGCCTGAAGAACTAAAATGTGTTTTTTGGGCCCATCCTTTTAAAGGCAGGGAGAGTGAGAACAAAATGAGAAAACCTTCTCATGCTTGCCAGATTTTTAGGAAAGGCCTGTTTTGCAAATGTTAACATCTGGACAAGTTCAGATGTTGCAATGGACCAAAAGGGCATTTTAGAACATTTAAAAAAAAAAATGGGAGCACATGCCGTGTGCTGTGGCAGTTTGTTCCCAGCTGATTGGGTTTGCACAAGGCATTTAACTATAAATGGGGACTAAGGCCTCACAGCTAGGAAGGCACCTTCCAGTTTGTTTGTTTATGCCCAGTCACTCTCTCTCAACCCATTTTTGTACCCACCTTTATTATTTTTACAAATACCTCAGGGTGGTAAACATATCCAACACACTTTCCTTCTATTTTCCCCACAACAACCCTGTGAGGACATTTGGGTTGAGAGAGAGTGACTGGCCAAAGTCACTCAGCTGGCTGGCTTTCATGGCTAAGGCAGGACTGGAACTTATGGTCTCCACTTTCTAGCCTGCTGCTTTAACTGCTTGAAGTCAAGATTGCCAAATTCAGATGCTTGGCAACTGGCATGTATTTATGACAGCTGCAGTATCCCAGAGTCATTAGATCACAATTGCAACCTTCTGACAAGGAAAGTCAATGGAGAAGTCAGATTTATTTAACAACCTGCATTACTAATTTAACAACCGCAGTGATTCACTTAACAACTATGGCAATGAAGGTCATAAAATGGGGCAGACTCATTTAACTATCTTGGTCAGCAATGGAAATTTTGGGCTCCATTGTGGTCGTAAGTCAAGGACTACCTGTATTAATAATTGTTTTTATATTTCTATTTTTACTATATTATAAGCCACCCAGAGGCACTTTGAATAGCAAGATGGGCAGCATATAAATTTAATAAACAAATAAACGGAGATGTTTCAGTTTCTAAGACTTCTAAACAACCCCCCCCCCTTCAAACTTGCTCCTTGCCTTTGTGAGGGTGTCGGTCCAGCGCTGATAGAGCTGACCCAATTCCCCGTCCATCTGACGTAAGGCCTGCCGACGCTGGCCTTCCGTCTCAGCATGAATCAGGTCTCCTAGGCCTTCAGCTGCTGTGAGGTCTAGCTTGCCGTTCTGGAAGGCCCGTTTGGTGAATTCTCCAGGTTCAGCAAAGCGCAGCTCAGGAAGTGCACCTGAAGTCAGCAAGAGACTTTCTATTGCTTTCCCAGTAAAGAGAGAACCTTCCCTTGCACCCCTAAAAATGGTTGGGAAAGAAGGATTAGCCAAAATATTGAAAGACCCACCCAAAGCGTTCAGGACGCCTCTCACCACAGCTGGGCCACCATGCACATGGAACTCAGCACTGTCCTCGCCTGTGAAACTACCCGGTCCTGAAGAAAAATAACAAAGTGGGAATTAATTCAGCAAATGAATTCAATAAATGACAAGGTCCATTCAGTTCCTCAGAGAGAGGCTTCTGCTTCCTCCCTTAAGAGAGTTCAAGAGAGTTTTTCTGGTGGCTGAAGAAACTTAGACCCCTAAGGCTGAAATGGACCTTGGAGTTCTTCTAGTACAGTGTTTCTCAACCTTGACAATTTTAAGGCATGTGGACTTCAACTCCCAGAATTCCACAGCCAGCATTGCTGGCTGTGGAATTCTGGGAGTTGAAGTCCACATGCCTTAAAATTGTCAAGGTTGAGAAACACTGTTCTAGTATAACTCCCTGCCCAAGGCAGAAGTCCTTATATTATCCCAGACAAAATGGATCTCCAATCTTTTCTTAAAAATCTCCAGCGATGGAGCATCCACAATTCTGGGAGGCAAGCTGTTCCATTCATTAATCATCCTGTCAAGAAATTCCTCATTTCCAGGTTGAATCTCTCTCTGAAGAGCTTCCACCCATTGCTTCTTGTCCTGCCTTCAGGTACTATGGAGAACATATCAATGTCCTCTTCCCTGAGACAGTCCTTCAGGTATTAGAAGACGGCTATCATGTCATCCTTAAGGCTTCTCTTTGTCAGGCTAAATAACATACCTAGTTCCCTTAATCGTTCATTGTATGATTTAGCCCCCAGAGCCCTTATTATCTTTGTTGCTCTTCTCTGCACTCTTTCTAGGGCCTGAGCATCTTTTTTGTATCATAAAAATATCCTTGATGGGTATTCAAAAATAAACTGTCCTCGATCTGCAGGGTTTAAAGTCTGCAACTTTAGACTATCCTGGCTTAATTTATCATTCAGACAGTAATGATAAATTCAGTTGGATGACTTTTTAAGCCAGTGATCAAAAACATATTCTCTGGCAATGATTTAACCACATTAGGTGAAGAAATAATTTCACACACCCTGAATCCATCTCTAAACAATCTGATCAGAAAACATTGAACTCTGATTGTCCCAAAGGTGCTTTTTCAAAAGGTAATTGGATTTTGTTTTTCCTTCTTCAGAACTGAAAAAACGTCTTAAATGAAAAGCAAAATGTCTTAAGGAAAAGCAAAATCCAGTTGCCTTTGGGACAACTGACCTGGATGACTGAGAATCTCCATAGACGCTGACTTCTGATATTGTAAGAGGAGAAAAATGTCTCTCTTTATATTTTCTTCAAACTGGTCTTACCAGCTTAAACTATTTTTCCATTAGTGTTTTCCTTTTCTAAAAACTTGAACACCTTTCCTGGAAGGAAAGAGATTTCCTTTCTTGCTTGTTTTTGGATCCTGTTTTGGAATATAAACTTGCTCGACCTTCAGATCAATCTCAAAAATTGCTTTCACAGGCTTAACAGGCTAACCAAAGATAATGAGAGAACAGGAAATGGGCAATGGAATATGGAATATGGTATCGTCAGCCGAGGCTGAAGCATACCTAAAGATGAAGGAGGCACATAAGCAGGGTGGACAAAAAGCCAGGAATCTTGTCTAAAAGATCCCTTTGGGAGACAGATAAGAAGGAAAAAAAATCGTTAAATGAAACAGAGGAAAACTTGTCATCTGAACCAAACAAAAGAAATTGGGCCTAAATACATGGGAACCCCTCCTGCCAAGTCCCATCAATTGCTACCAGAGTTGTAATCAACAAGCCTAGATTAGCTGCCAGTCTACAATCTACTGCAGTGATGGTGAACTTTTTAGAGACTGAGTGCCCAAACTGCAACTCAAAACCCATTTATGCATTGTCGAGTGCTGGGTGGGTGTGGCCCACTGGGTGGGCGTGCCCCACTGAGTGGGCGTGGCTGCGGTGGTAACGGCAGACTGGGTGGGACTAAAAAGTTCAATCAATCAATTCCAACTTTGCAAGATCGTTTTTTTTCTCGCGAGAAGTTGAAATTGACTGATTGAACTTTTTTTTTTTGCACACAGCAGTGGAGACCTAAAGCGAAAACATTTTATAAAACCCAGCTGAAGGCCTAGGACTGGGGCGACAGCGCGCGTGCCCACAGAGAGGGCTCTGAGTGCCGCCTCTGGCACCCGTGTCATAGGTTCGCCACCACTGATCTACTGCGTATAAAGAGGCAGCAAATCCCATACTCACTAGCACTGAGGATGTTACCTAGTCAGGTAGCAAAACATCTGCAAGCAAACAACCAAGCTCAGAGAGCACAGATTCTGTTACTCTACCCTATCACAAAGAGTTTCATTCTTGGAATCCCTCATTCTTGACCTTAGCTACTTCAAAGGGCTGACAGATGGCCAATACCTTTTTTTTTCTTTTTACGATTCTGCAATCCCTTAATGGAGTTAAGCGTTTACTGGTCCGGATGCCCTTCCTAACACCTATGCAGAGTTTGTAGCAGACATTTTTTCTTTGCGCCCTAAGAGAGAAACATCTGCTGCTACCTAGGATTGAACTCTCAACCTTCCAAATGGGAGGCGAGCGTCTTCACCACTAAGCCATCAGGCTGCTCCAGTCAGTACCTTAATTGGACTACAGCAATTAGTTTTACACGCAGCTACCCTTGAGGAAGCTTGCAGTGGTTCAGCATCCAATGGCCTAGATCACGGGTGTCAAACTCACCGCATCATGTGACGTGTCACGATGTATGGTGACTTTTTTCACATTGCCAGAGCTGGGGTGGGTGCGGCCTCCGCATGATGCAACCAGCCTGTGGGCGGCAGTTTGACACCCTGGCCTACATAGTGATGAACATTTCTGACTTGACTAATGCAACACCTCTACAGTAGGAACTGTATTAGCTGCTAGTCAGTTTCCAGGTGCAATTCAAGACATTGAATTGCTTACTTGTAAAGTCCTACATGGCTTAGGATCTGCTTATGCTGCAGACCACCTGCTCCAAAATGAATTTCTCCATCCTGTGAGATTTGAAAGAGAGGATCTGTTATGGTCCTGTCTCCAAGGAGTTCTATCTGCAGAGGTTTTTCAGTGGTGGCATTCCTCTTGTGGAATCTCTCTGTTGGATTGTGTCATTATGGTTTTTTGATAGTCTGTTATTTTAATCCTTATTTTTGCTGTAGATTTCTCAGAGCTATTTGGAGTGGAATTTAGCATAGAAATATCAATAATACAAATAAATAAACAAAATGAAATCTATGCATTCTAAAGGGCACCAATGAAAATGATCACCCAGCAGAATTTTAGTTCTAGACTGAGCTAGGACCAAAAGGAATGCTACCTATTTCTTTATTGTGACAGGAAATTTGCTCCATTCTGTAAATTGCTGGGTTCTTGGGGTTTTTTGAGCTTGGGTGGCCTTTTGCAGATGTTGCAGGCTCAATAATATCATCTCTCTTCCATGCTCTGATAATCTAACCTAGTAATCAAATGTCTGCAGAAAAACAACCAATCTCAGAGAACACCAAAAACTCATCAGTTCACCTCTGAACTATGTAGAGTCTGTACTTCTGGAATCTGTACTTGTTGTTGTTCAGTCTGCGAAACTATCTCCTACCAGTCTAATTAAACATGACATCTTTTATGTGGTAGCCTTGTGTAGAAGGTCTTTATCTGTTTCATTTCTTCCCTCAAGGAGATCATGTTGCATTAACTGGTCCCTTCAACTGAACTTGATAATAACCACCAATTTTCTTCACAATGATTATGGATTGTGCCTTCTTCCTTCATAGGTTACAAACCCATCTGAATGTTTAATTGCTGTAACAATTTAGGGCAAGAATTACAAAAATTACTACTCCAGAGGAACACAGCTTATTAGAAATAACAAGGTCCATGAAGCTAATGAGAGCATAATACTACTGCATGATCTTTCAGAACCTTTTTAAATATAAGAGATATGCTGCTGTGAAGGATTTGGGGGCTTGTTTAATACAAGCAGTTAGAGCCAAAGAGTGACTTATTTTTTAGCATATCCCAAAGCTCATTCTAAAAATGGCACTATTCCTTATAAATGGCACTATTCCACTTGAAGCATTTTAAGGAAATGTAAAAAGATGAATTTTGGGATCTAAAAAGCCATTTATAGAAGACTTACCAGCGTGGTGCTGGTCCTGCCTGCAGAAGTTAAGAACTTAATTGCTTATTTAAGACCAGGAAAGGCTCCACAATGATTCGATTCCTGTGTTAATTAAAAGTAATTCAACTCTGTGGGCACCAATTTTGGCTTTACTGTTTATATTTATAGATAAATATGCCTATATGTCTATTTACTTGTAATGATAATTCCCATCTTTACAAAAGGGAATTCAACAAATTACAGACTCATCGGTTTGCTTAATTAACTGCAAATGTGATGCGATGTCAGACATGTGTGTATGTGTGTGTGTGTGTTAGAGTGACTGAGAAGTGGAGAGATTGATTGGAACAGGAGAGCCTCCTGGTGGAAGAACAAGCTGGCTTCCAAAAGAATTATTCTACTATTGACCAACATCTAATGCTCTAATAATACTTAATAGAGACATATTAATCGCTAGTAGATAGTGGATTGTTTAAATCAACAGAGGGGAATTAATTTCTCTTACCGTAATGTAATTGAGGTAGAATTCCAATATTTCTCATATATTTGTTTCAATACCTGATCTACCTTGAAGGGCTGCTATAGTGCTGAAAGTCTAATAGCATTCTCTTTTCCTCATTCTTATACCAGAGAGCATCAAAGTGGGGCAAACCTGAGCTTCTTCCTCACACTCTGTTTTCTCACATTAAACTCATGTTTTAGTAATAGTTTCCATATACTGTCTTCAAGGAAATTCTATAGTCTTCTATAGATGATAGGTCCAGCCTACATTCACTGATTATTTTCAGGTTATAACAAGTTACAGTAACTCCATAACATACAGGTAGTCCTCAAATTATGACCACCTCTGAACCCAAAATTTCCCTTTCTTTGATCCCTCCAATAAGTATCCATAATCTAATGCTTTCACATTAGAACTGTGACCCTGTCATTTGGGGGGGGGAAAGGTGCAATTATTTTACATATACATTTATTCAACTGAGAGGGGCATTGCCAAGACAACAAAGAATTGTGTATCAGAAACTTGATAAAGCTTTAACGTTGGACAAGAATCAATATAGCAGTTACGCTTAGGTACTTTAAAATTCTAACCTGGGAACCATAGTACAAGGCCTCGGTCCAGGATTTCAGAAGAGCTGGGATCACATATCCTACGTAAAGTAGCTGTTCTTGGAGGTGGTGGTTCCTTTGTCCCTGTCATGCAGAGCAAGGCTGAACAGCTAACTGGGCCACTGGTTCGAATCACAGCCACTCCACACTTTCCTTGACCAGAAGACAAGGCAAAGATGGTGTCCCTCTTTGCAGCCTGGCAATATAACCTGGAAAATAGGAAAGAAAAAAGAGAGCCAGTTTGGTTTAGTGGTTAAGGCACCAGACTAGAAAATAGAAGACCATGAGTTTATGAAAGTCAGTGCATTTCTTCTTCTGATGACAAACATGTCATCCATATATCGGCCCAAAAGGGGGACATAAGTCACGAAGCTGCTCCAATACTGTCAATGTAACTTCTTCACGTTCAAAAGAGAAATGTATGAAAAAATAAAAGGGATATCCATCGGATCCCCAATATCAGGAGTCATTGTAGAAACAGTCCTACATGAACTACTAGAACACCGTGCATTTCAAAACTACACACCTAGATTTTGGTGCCGCTGCCTAGGTGACACATTTGTCATCATCAAAAGAAATGCACTGAAAGACTTTCATACTCTACTGAACTCCATCTTCCCAGACATACAGTTCACAATGGCGGGAATAATTACCATTTTTAGATCTGCTTGTCACCATATAGGACAGTGGTTGCGAACCTATGGCACGGGTGCCAGAGGCGGCACTCGGAGCCCTCTCTGTGGGCACACATGCTGTTGCCCCAGTCTTGCCTCCCCCCCGTGACCCCCTCCTCACTAGTAGCCCTCCTGGAGAAGAGTCAGCCCCAAGCGTGGCCCACGCGGAGCAGTGCAGCCAAGGACATGGCAGCCAGGCAGCATAGACAAGACTCTGCCCTCACGCCCCATCACGCACAGCTGATGCTGCAGGGCGTGGGGAGAGGGCATGGCTGCCATGGCGCTGCTGGGCGATCTGCAGCGGGCCCTGGAGGCAATGAGTGGCCCTGCGGGCAGGCGGTGTGGGAGCGGGGCAGAGGCGGGGCAGGGGTGGAATGGGGGCGGGGCCAGTTTTTGGGCACTCGGTCTCTAAAAGGTTCGCCATCACTGATATAAGAAGACGGAAGCCTAGAAACCACGATTTATCGAAAGGCCAACAACAACTCAAGCATTGGCAAAAAGTTGTGTCAGAACACTATATGGCAGTGTTTCAGAAGCAGTAGAACACAGCTTCTGAAATCTGCAAGTGTGCATCGCACACAGCCCAGAGGCTACCATACGAAGACAAATCATGCATCACAAAGATCACTTGGAGATATGAGATTCTTCTAATGCAGCGGTTCTCAACCTATGGGTCGCGACCCCATTTGGGGTCAATTGACCATTTCATGGGGGTCGCCAAGCAAGGCTGTCCGCCATTTTTTCCCCCTTTTCCGGCGGGTGCCTTACCTCCCTTGGGCTGGGCCAGCTGGTGGTCGGCCTGCTCCGTCTCTGCCGCTTGCCAGCTACGCCTCGGCCAGCGCAGGGGGCGGAAACACGCATGCGCGGCGCTCCCAGGCAGGGAAAGTCCTCGACTTACGACCGGTTGGGTAGTCTTTGACTTACGACCGGTTTAGTCCTCAACTTACGACCGGTTTAGTCCTCAACTTACGACCGGTTGGGGGTCGCGGCATTAAAAAGGTTGAGAACCACTGTTCTAATGTAATCTACCAGATCCCCTGCATGGATTGTCCCTGTGACTATGTAGGATAAAAGAGGAGGAAGCCTACCACCACATTGCAAGAACACAAGCAAGCAGTCAGACGAGGAGACCTAAACTCATTGGTAGCCTCACACTGCAATGAACAAAGACATACATTCAATTTCGCAGCTACTAAGATTGTTGGCTATGCAGGTACAAAGATAGCCAGGGAAATGATTGAAGCCTGGGAAACCTCCTTGTCAGTCAACAGGAGTGCTGATTTATCACCGACTTATCAGGTACTTGGGAGTCAAGGACTTGGCAGCACAAGGAAACAACAGCCAATAGCCGGCCATCAACACACCAATCAACAACTAAAAAGCCACACACAACCAGGCACCACATAATATTACATATTACAAAGCACACATTCTGTTAGAGAGAAGTTCCCTGAGGATGCAAGTCCAAAAGCTCAGAAAACTAAACCTCTGGTTCCGGTGTCTAACCCAGATTGGATCTTGTGACATTATCTTGGGACATGTATATTTGCCTTTATTCAGATAATGACCATCCCTAATTAATTAATTCAAAAGTGCTGTGATTAAGTGATTAAGCACTTGATCAAAATGTTACCTGAGCCCAAATTACTGGAACCCCAAATTTACAGCAAGTTACCTCCTACCTTGTGAAGATAAAGTAGAGAGAAGAGGGTACTCGATTATTACAAGTTGTTATCACGGTAAGAAAAGTCTAAATACAAATCTGATAAATAAATACAGGGGTCAGTGATGCCAATCTCAGATTCTTAACAGAGGAGTATAAAATAAAATATGCAATTGTAGTGATATGTGGCAACAGATTAGGCAACAGTCAGATAAGAGGCAGCTGAGCCTACCAAAGCAATGGGGGTGTAGCAAACATCTCAGAAGGGATACCTCTACCCCCTTCTTGGTTTGCAAATGCCACGGGGGCGGGGGATCTACTTTCAGATTTGCAAGATCCTGTTAATGTAACCTTACAGTAAAGACTATGCAATAATCGCAGGCATGTTTCTTGTCTGGATTACCTTGCAAGGCTGACAGTAACACTGTGAACTACTTTTCTGCAAAGGAATTTCAGAGAAGCATATATCATTTATCCTCACTGCTCTCTTGTGTGAGAAGTTAGAGTGAAAGTATTCCTAGACTATGTATTATGGGCACTCATCAACTCTGTACAAATAGGGTTGCCCAGTCCACTCCATGGAGCTCTTGAATTTTTAAGAACTAGAAAGCTGGCCAACAAAGAAAGAGAAATATGCTCCTGAAGCTGTTATAACTTACACCAGTGGTTCTCAACCTGTGGGTCGGGACCCCATTTGGGGTCGATCGACCATTTCATGGGGGTCGCCAAGCAAGGCTGTCTGCCATTTTTTTTGTCCGCCATTTTTCCCCCCTTTTCTGGCGGGTGCCTTACCTCCCTTGGGCTGGGCCAGCTGGTGGTCGGCCTGCTCCGTCTCTGCCGCTTGCCAGCTATGCCTCGGCCGGCGCAGGGGGCGGAACCACGCATGCGCGGTGCTCCCAGGCAGGGAAAGTCTTCGACTTACGACCGGTTGGGTAGTCCTCGACTTACGACCGGTTTAGTCCTCGACTTACGACCGGTTTAGTCCTCGACTTATGACCGGTTGGGGTCGCGGCATTAAAAAGGTTGAGAACCACTGACTTACACAGAGGCACCTTTCTCTGTTGGATTCCTGTCTTCTATGCAGTTGTTACAAAGGACCGACTCTTTTAGAGAAGGCAGCAGTAAAGCAGGCAGAATTAGCCATGGTAAGACCACACTTGCATTCAGTTTTGGTCGCCACAATATAAAAAAGATGTTGAGATTTTGAAAGAGTGCAAAGAAGAGCAACAAAGATGATTTGGGGCCTGGAGGCCAAAATATATGAACAGTTGTAGGAGAAAGGTATTCTACTTTAATGAAAAGAAGGACTAGGGGTGACATGACAACAGTGTTCCAATATTTGAGGGGCTGCCACAAAAAAGAGGGCGTCAACCTATTCTCCAATGCATCAGAAGGCAACACAAGAAGCAGTGGATGGAAACTAATCAAGGAGAGAACCGACCTAGAACTAAGGAGAAATTAATCAGCGGAACGGCTTGCCTTCAGAACTTGTGAGTGCTCCATCATTGAAGGTTTTGAAGAAGAGATCGGACAGGATCCAATCTAGGTCGGTCACTGGAACTAGAGGTTACATCTTTCGAGTTTTCGGATTCATGCTGAAGCCCATCCTCAGGAACTTCTCTCACACAAGTCTGAAAGTTTGGAAGACAAAACCTCTGGTCCCAGTGACCAACCCAGATTGTACCCTGCAACATTATCGTGGGACACATATATTCCCCTTTGTTTGTGAGAGATTGAACAGCCATTTGTCCAGAATGGTATAGGGCAGGGCTAGGCAACCTTGGCTCTTTTATGACTCGTGGACTTCAACTCCCAGAATTCCTGAGCCAGCAATTCTGGGAGTTGAAGTCCACGAGTCATAAAAGAGCCCAGGTTGCCTAGCCCTGGTATAGGGTCTCCTGCTTGTGCAGCGGATGGACTAGAAGACCTCCAAGGTCCCTTCCACCTTTGTTATTCTAACCTGTCCGCGGGGAATTGCATATCAAGAAAGTCACCTCTTCTCACGTGCTTTCTCAAAGGCGAAACTTAGTATTTACAGCCACCCACCTGCAGAAGAGCTTGCAGACCCTTCGATTTCTTACAGGCAACAGCATTCTCTGCAAGAAAAGCCACATCGCTCCCAAGAAGGAATTAGAGCACAATCGCTCTTTTCTTCCCCCGCCAATTGTCCTCCCCCAGCTCCATCCCGTCCAGCCTTCTCCCCTATGCAAAATCCCCCAGGCTTCCTTTGCTACCACGACCTGACGTTCGTTTTTGGCTTCAACTGAGGGCAACGTGCCCTTTTGCAATGTGATTGGTTGAGGGGAGGGGGAGGGGAGGGACTTCGGAAGGGGCGGGGCGCCACGGTCTCCCTTTTGTAGTATTCTATTGCGGGGTTCTGTAACTCGCAGCTCTGCGCGTCCTCCTTCCGTTGGGTATTGATTTGTTTCTTTGATTTGTTTACGTAGGCGATAAACAATACGTATGCAGCGTAATCTTGCATAATTCAATGTAACCTTCAGCTTATTTTTTAAGGTGAGGTTCTTCTTGGCCGGAGTGTGCAGTGTTTAAAAAATTAATTCGGGGGGCGAGATGGTGATGGAATATTAGAGGGCGGCGAGGGGAAAGGAAGCTGAGAAGTATTTTTTTTAAACGAGGCTGCTGTTGGGCAGAAGGAGATTTAACACGCACTCTTCGTATGCTCAGGTGTAGGCTTGTCTTGCATGGCAGGTGGCTCTCAGACCAATTAAATCCCTGTCTGTACATCGCCTCCCTAGGTGGAAAAGGCATGCACGCATCCGCAAGCGGAGAGATGACGTAGCAGCCTTGCTCCGCGTGGTGGGAAGCTCTTGGAAGGATCCTGCCAGCAAGTGGGTAGCCCTAAAATAGGAGAACAGAAGCCGGTATAATTTTATTGCTGATTTATTTTAAACCTGTTACTACAATACTAAATTTGTATATTTTTAGCCCGTGCAAACCACATTGTAGCACCCGCTTCTCCAGCAGCTCTGGTTGTTTGCTGCAAGAAAACGTACATAAATCACCCTTCCGCAAAGCAGCCGTGCCTAAGAAACATGAATTTTATTATCCGAGGTTTCCTCTGCCGCTCGCCGCTGCAGGAGGAAGATGCTTTGAATCTTTATTTTTTCCCCAGACTTAAAACCGCGGAAGTGACCGCTTAGGACGTGGCCGAGAGGGAGACGGGCTTAACGAGGTTTAAAACTGAAAGCCCAAAGCAGATTTAATTTAGAATTTGCACTGAATGTTGCTTGTGGGGCCCTGGTTATATAAATTATACATCTGTAAAAAGGCCTCCTCCCACTTGATAAATGCAAAAGTCATAACATCCTGATTCGGGCGTGACCGTTTCCCTACAAATACAAACTGGAGAGACATGAGGCTGATCGTGATTTAGGGGATGATGGTAAATTAATAAAGAAGTTAGTGTTTGGGTGCTTAAACCAACTGTCGGCCCTGATTTAATCTGATGCTATTCACATATCATGCTTTAGGCTAGGCAACTTTGAAATCTGGAGTCAGTAAATGAGAAAATGAGCTCATCTGATTATCATAGCTATTTTCATCTGCAGGCCTATTTTGTTTTGCTTATTCATTTTATCATGTATTTATTTATGCTCTCCCAGGGAATTTAAGACACATGCCGAGCTTTTCCACCTTTTTATCTTTACAACCACAGCCCCAGGTAGATTAGATCTGAGAAAAAGTTACTCGCCCATATGAATATTTATGGCATGAAAATTTGAACTGGAATGTTCCTTTTCTACTCCAGCACGTCTTTTTAAAAACTTGCTCTTAATTCCTGCTTTTGGCTTTTATCTTCCTATATTGTGCTACGGTGTTATCTGTGGGTGCATTAATTTATGTGAAAAGGATTGCAATAAAGTTGAGCAGAAATTTTTGAAACTTAGCTATAAGCAAAGATTTGCAGTAGGTGGCAGCATGTAGCCAACCTTGGCTGATCTTGAAAAAGCTAACCAGATGAGACCTGTGTAGTGCTTGGATGGGAGGCCACAAAGAATCTAAGGGCTATAAGGTTGACAAGTAAATAAAGAGTAGCTGAAGATAAAGGCAAACTGCCTCCATATTGTTGCCAAAAAACAGCCTGACTATGGCCTTAAAATTACGAGACATCAAGCATATTATAAGGGCGATTTTTATCTTTGAATCCAGTATTTTTCAACCTTGGCAAACTTTAAGATGTGTGGATTTCCCAGAATTCCCCAGCTAACACCTTGGATTTTGGAAGCTGAAGTCCGTGCATTTTAAAGTTGCCAAAATTGAGGAACCCTGTTTTAACCTAACAAAAATCTTGTAAGGTAGGCCAGTTATTTCTCTATTGCAGAAAAGATGGGAATGGGAGGTTTTATGTCTCATGCTGTTTTATGTTTTAAATTCAGCATCCATCTTTAACTTTTTCAAATTATTTTGGAAACGAGGCAAAGCCTGGAATGAACAAAAAGTCGAGTCAATTGAAATGAAGCTATGCCATGAAAACTGAGATAGGGATGTACTGTATCTAATTTAGGAAAGTGCAAATAATCTGGGGAGGCTTTTCTTTTTAAATCTAATGGAAGCTGCTGACAGGACCAACAGGATTACTGGTTATTTGTATACAGTACCATCACAGGTTCTTTTAATCCAGCATGCCTGGCTGAGGAATTCTAGGAGTTGAAGTCCACAAGTCATAAAAGGGCCAAGTTTGAAGACCTCTGGTTTAAACTTTACCCAGGTCAGTGGGCTCTAAGACCCCAGGGAGCCAACAGAACCACACAAGTCTTTTGGCAACACTCACCCAAACACTCAAAAGGCTAGTGCTCACTGCCCACACTTTTACTACAGCTCCTATTGATTCAGTGATGGTTCAAAGTCACAATGACACTGAAAAAAATGACTTATGACCGTTTCTCACACTTACAACTGTTGTAGCATCCTCATGGTCACATGATCAAAATTTAGATGCTTGGCAGTTGGCATGTATTTATGACGTTTTCAGTATGCTGGGGTCACGTGATCATCTTTTGCAACCTTCTGACAAGCAAAGTCAATGAAGTTAAGTGAATCTCTGCAGTCGTTAAGTCAGTAACACAGTTGTTAAGTGAATGTGGCTTCCCCGTTGACTTTGCTTGTCAGAAAGTCACAAAAGGTGATCACATGACCCCGGGACACTGCAACCATCATAAATATGAGTCAGTTGCCAAGCAGCTGAATTTTGATCATGTGACCATGGGGATGCTGCAATAGTCGTAAGTGTGAAAAACGGTCATAACTCCCTTTTTTCAGTTCTGTTGTAACTTTGAACAGTCACCAAATGAACTGTTGTGAGTCGAGGGACACCTGTACTTTTTCAGTAACTCAAGGTGGTGATTGTGAATAATACAAGTACAGGTACTCCTTGACTTGTGGCCACAAATGAATCCAAAAATTTCTGTAGCTCAGTGAACAGAATGATGCTCGTAGCAGACCAGTCATCATTTGGCTGCCCCCTTACCTCCCCCATGTGTTTTATATGACAAAGATATGTGTGTTACCTTGACATTTATTAGAGTAGATATAGTAGCATAATATGAGACACTATGCTTCTATGAACTGTAACCCACAAAATCTTATGCAATAGATTGCCAAAACCATATCTATATGGTACAAATAGTCCTTGATTTACAATAATTCGTTTAGTGACCAAAATTACAATAGCAGGGAAAAAATGATTTATGACTGGACATTGCATTTACGACCATCATAGCTTTCCTCATAGTCACATGATCAAAATTTGGGTGCTTGGGAATCACCATGTGTTTACGATGGCTGCAGCATTCCAAGATCATGTGATCACCGTTGGCGACCTTCCTCACCCCCCAGCTTCCGAGAAGCAAAGTGGGTGGGGAAACTGGATGCACTTAATGACTGTATGATTCACTTAACAACTGCAGTGATTTGCTTAATAACCATGGCAAAAATGGTCATAAAATTGGGTGTGATTTACTTAGCACCATCTTACTTAGCAATGGAAATTCTGGTCCTGACAGTGGTTGTAAGTTGAGGATTGCCTGTAAATACGTCTTTGAGTGAAGCTTGATAATTGTATAGTGATGGCCATTTAGTTTTCTTGGCAGCAATACAGATAGTCCTCGACTTACAACAGTTCATTTAGTGACCACTCAAAGTTACAATGGCACTGAAAAAAGTGACCTATGACCTTTCATACTTATGACCATTGCAGCATCTCCCTGGTTGCATGATCAAAATTCAGACCCTTGGCAACTGAATCATATTTATGATGGTTACAGTGTCATGTTACCACCTCTTGCGACCTTCTGACAAGCTGAAGTCAATGGGGAAGCCAGATTCACTTAACAACCGTGTTACTAACTTAACAATTGTAATGATTCACTTTACAACAGTGGCAAGAAAGATTGTAAAATGGGGCAAAACTCATTTAACAACTGTCTTGCGTAGCAACAAAAAAATGTTTGCTCAATTGTCATCGTAAGTTGAGGGCTAGCAGTATGGAGTTAGCTTGCTACTGTTTTTTTTTTTAATTTCCTAGTCTAGAGATTTCCTGGTAGTCCTCCATCAAATTACTATTTAGTTTCAATCCTGCTTAGCTTTTTTGATATCAGCCAGATCAGCTGGATCTTGACACCATCTATGATGTCAAGCGCCAATATACCTGTGGCTTTTGAAATTATATCTCCACCAGATGAATTTCCCCATTCTTTCCCATGAATTAGTGTTTTCTAGTTTCCTATCTGCCCAAAAATCAGCTTTAAAGTGGGTCAGCCCTTGGTGACTTCATTTCCTTCACATTTATTGTCAGGTACTTTATAAGGCTGTTTTTTAAAAAAAAAAATCAGCAAAAGGCATGTTTATCTCTAGTTACACCTGTTCTGGAAGGAGTCTAGAAATAACAACTTGACCTTTATGATATGAAGTTATTTGAAGTCAAGACAAGATAGGAAAACAAGGATAAAGGTCATGAAATGTAAGGATTTAGAGAGAACCATGCTAATAGATGTGGCACAGATTAAAGAATTTCCCGAAAGAGTGGAATATCCAATCCAATTTCAGTTCAAAAGTGGGCCCAAAAGGCTGTACACTTTCCCCAATCTGCTTTTCTGTAGATCCAGCTACTTTTTAAAAATCTTTTACTCAAAAGCAACAACCCACCGCGGAGACGGGAAACCCCTAAAAACTCTAGTAGACCACAGAAGTATGTGGAACATCATTTTTAAAGAACAGAGAAACCTCCAAATTGCCCCCATCATGCAAGCTTATAAACTCTAATTTGTGGGGTTCATTCACACAAGATGTGGCAGACACAAATATAGGGCATTTGACTGTGAAAGGTTTGGCATTATAGTAGACGAGATCTATCCTCAGCTATTTATAAGAAGTAGAACATCCATATTAAAAGCCAGCCAATCTTTGAGCTCCTCAGATATGGGACAGATTGACAAAACATCTTCTTTGCCATCGTTTTCCATTTCATCGCTTTGTTCTCCATCATGGATTTACTGTTTTCATTTTGATTCTGGGCTCTGTCCTAATTTAACCTCCTCTTCTTAAAGGCTGCTTTTTTTTTTTTTACTACTGTCACTTAACTGTTTTTATTTCACTTCTGCTAAAACCCAGTAATAGCCATTTACTAAATACATTAGTCTGGGTGAAATATGTAGAACGGGGTTAGAAAGGGGGGGGGAAATTCAACATATATTTAGGGGAAATTACACTATCCGTGTGCTGTGGAGAACCAGGAAAAAAAGTATTAACAGTTCTGTCAGAGGATCCCAATTCAACCCCGGGCACGCTGCTGACAGATGGCGCTCGGGAGTCGCAGACCAACCACATTATTAAACGCTCTTTGCCGTCTCTTCGCTTTCCCCCCCTCCTTTGTCCCTCGGTCTGCGCGCTGGCTCGCTCGGAGGCGCTTTGGGGCGCTGGAGGCGTTAGGAAGGGCCATCCGGGGCAGGTGCCGCTCACCTGGGCCGAGCAGGGAAGCCCCCTTTCAGGCGTCCGTCGCTCCAGCCCGGCCCTGATGGCGCGCCGGCTGCCGCCTCAGCCCAGCTCCGGTCCTGTGCTCGCCACCCTCCCGTCCTGGCGGCTGTGAGACCAGCCCCGGCTGCTTTCTTGGCTCGGATGAGCCGCCCGCATCCCGACGCCGCACTGCGATGCTGTTTTCCTGGTGCAGCCCTCAACCTTGAGCTCGGGAGCCACGATGCCAGAGACTGGGGCGGCAGGACCGGCGGCGAGCGCCCAGGAGAACAAGCGAGGGGGAGGCGCGATGGATGGGGAGGCGGCCGCGCCACCTGCCACCGGGGTCCTGGGTGAGTAAGCGCTGCCCCGGGCTGCCGTCCCGCCCGGGCAGTGGGATGGCGATGGCGGCGCGCGCGCGCGCGGCGGGGGGGGGGGACCGTGGCTAAACAGGGACCCGCACCGGCGGCTTTTCCGCAGTCGGCCGTAGATGTTGCTAAGCGCGGACTTTGTCGAAGTTGGGGAAGACTGGAGGGCGGCTGCGTCCCTTCCACCGGTGGGAATACCGGCTGGAGGGCGCCGGCTGGGAAGGCGCGCCTGTGCGGGCGTGGAAGGGGCTGCAGTCGCGCCGCCGCCGCCGCCGCTAGTCTATTGTCTCGCAAGCGGGCGTGACTCCCCCGACCCAAGAGCCCACCGACTTCAATCGACGAATTGGGAGGGAGGCGTCCTCGAAAGCCTTGTCGGGAGTGGCTGGGCACGACCAGCAGACACGGGCGCCTCGTGGACTTGTGCTCGAGCGCCCGGACCTGACCCGTCTCGTCTCCTCCCGAGGTCTGCCGGTCTTCGGGGTGCAGGTGGGTGCGGCGTCTCCCGCCCCTCCAAAATTCCCGTCCCGCCGGCGGAGGCCGAAGGAGACCGGCCCTGCGGGTCCACTGCGGCGGCGGCCATCCGCGCCGTGCCTTTGGATGACGCCGCCATCGGGGAGGCTGGTTTCGGCGTGGCCGTGGCGAGGGGACCTTAAAGGGTCACGGCGAGGGACCTCTAGGGCGCGCCTCGGCTTCTCCCAAACCCGGCCTTTCTGGACGCGCAGGACGTAGGCTGCGGGTGATGGGACTTGTAGTCGAGAGTGCCCGGAGGGCGCCGGCTCCGGAACGCGGGTGGGAAGAAGCCCGAAATATTTCTCGAGATTGTGCTGAGAGAGAAAACTCAGCCATTGTAGGAGGGACAGACTAGATTGGAAATGAGGCATCTCCCCTCCCTGTGTACCTGTTGGAAATCTCTGGCCAGAGTGAGGTGGTCTTTTTTCCCCCCCTCACTCTTCCCCTTTTGGCCCATTTTGGGTGGAAAGACACGTCAAGAGTTGAGTGTATGTGCAGGTAATGTGTGAATGGGGTGATATTAGAGCACCTAGAGTTCATGCACTACTCGATATTTTAACATTTCTCCAAGAGGCTAGGTGCGGGTCGTGCAGTCCCAGTGACTTGCTATACGTGCAACAGGGTTTATGTCCTTGGCCACTTTTTCCTCAGTGCAATTTAGATACAACTTACACACACACACACACACACACACACACACACACACACACACACACACACTTGTTTCCCCCCCCCCATGTTTTTGTATAAGAGTTCTTCCTGGAGGAAAAGCGGGATATAAATCTAACAAGTAAAGCGATGGAAATTATTTCTTTCACAGGTCTAATCTTTCTTCAAGGTTAACAGTGGAAAAACTGGGGAAAACCTGGGGCAAATCTGTGGGAAAGAGTTTGGGGCGGGAATTATCTGTTTGAGACATGATTCCCCTCCCTCCTATGGATTGAGAATCCATGCAAGAGAGAAGTGACAAGAGGCAGATCTTGGGGCCGGATGGGTCACTCAGCTTTCATGTGTCTTGCTCCACTACCTTTATGGATAGCTAGCTCCCATTGTTTTAATGAAGCTTTTTTCTGATCTGCTGCCCCTTAACTTAGTTGAACTTAAGTGCCTTAATTCCCAACTAGTAAGGCTTAAGGGCAGAGGTCTTCAAACTTGGCCCTTTTATGACTTGTGGACTTCAACTCCCAGAATTCCTCAGCCAGGCACGCTGGCTGAGGAATTCTGGGAGTTGAAGTCCACAAGTCATAAAAGGGCCAAGTTTGAAGACCCCTGGCTTAAGGTATTGGACTTCAGCTCTTACAAACTGCAGTCAGTCCTGAACTGAAATCCGTAATTAAAGTTAAACACATGGGTTGGATTCATAAACTGTTAAACCATATTTTTTTAGCTACAATTTATTGAATAAAGCACACTTGGCTGGTTCCACACAATACATTAAATTATTTAAAATAGTATGCTAAACCACTAGTAGTTTTAACCATTAACCTGAGCCACAATAGATGGATACCTACATGCATTAAGCCCTAAGCAATGCATTAAGCCCTAAGCTATGGTTGACAAGCTGTAATTGTGCCTTATATCTGAAAAACCAAAACCTCACAATCATGTTATGGTTTAGTGTAATATGCGTCTAGGATTTACATGGCCAATTACATTAAATTGCTTAGGCATAGGTGCGTCTCTAGATATTGGAAAGAAGAATGTGTTTTATCTCTGCCTCCTCAGATGAAGGAAATTCCAGCAATACTAAACAGCTATTTCTGAGCACAGAGCCTCAATAGAAAATATTGTAGTAGCTTTCTTTTACCCACCTTATTTCTTTCTAGTACAGTAGTTTTTCACCCCACCAAAGATTATAGCCTGTATTTAGTTCTGTGAGTTAAAACTATTGTCTCTGAATAAAACAGCAAAGAATCAAGCAAGGTAAAAAGAAGTATGATCTCTTAGGCAGAGATTTTGAACCTGAAGATGGGTTGTTTGAACAAAAAAGATAAGTTTTGCAGTTGTGCCTATAAGAATGTGCACTTTTGCAGATTAATTGAATCCTCCAATTCTTTGGGTTGATTTGGCCCAGAAATATATCTTATTAATATGTAAATTAATGTCACAAACTTAATCTATTGGTGCAAATAGCAGAAAGCTTTCATTACCTAGAATTCTAGCTACTTAAAAGTAGAAAATGCTTAACTGGTCAAATAAAGTGGAACAGCTGTACTGACATGCTATGCTGAGTTTGGTTGATTTTAACCTTGTGTAACACTGTAGTAGCTTAGCGTTTTGTCAGAATCCTAGCCTTTTGATTCAGTTTCGATTCAATATATAGGGTGAATCCTGAAAATGAATTAACTCGGAACTCAGATTAAGCATGTTATATGAATCCAGCTATGTACAGACTTTGCATTGAAGCCTGCTGACATACGTGTGTGTACGTGCATGTGCATATATTCTCACTGTAGTGCCAACCTCAGCCCACACTACAGCTGTGCCAAGGAGATTTTGGGCACCCACAATGCCCAGCCTGTTTGTTTCATTGCCTGGAGTCAGCGCCCACAATCGGCAAAGACAGGACTCCTTTGTCAAAATCCCAATTCCCGTTGGATTGGCTGAGATGGGGAATAATTTTTCAATCTTGTACCATTTCATCCTTGTTCCAGAATTTTCCTAAGACGTGGAGGCTGCAGTTCTGAATCTGTTTAATTGAGGTTGTATAACTTCTTAGCGTAGCCTAGTAGAAGAACTTGTGCAAACTGTTAGTATGGGAAAGGAGAGACAAACAACCTGAAAATTAGGAAAGGAGAAATAGGGATTGATGTTTTATGCTGCAAATCTTTATAGCCCGTTCTTTCCCCCTTATTTTGTAGCATTATGATGTAGACTACTCTTACATAGGGAGGTTCCATATGGGTTAGATATCCTGAGGAAAAGCTGTAAGGGTAAACAATTAAATGGATCAGACCAAAGTATGAGATCCTATTTCTGATAACAGCTAATTTTTTTCTCTCCCATCAGCAGATGGTATTCCAGAATTAAATATAAGATCTATCTTTCGTAACTTTAAAGGCAATATCCTCTAGATCAGTGGTTCTCAACCTTTTTAATGCCGCGACCCCCAACCGGTCGTAAGTCGAGGACTAAACTGGTTGTAAGCCAAGGACTAAACCGGTCGTAAGTCGAGGACTAAACCGGCCGTAAGTCGAGGACTACCCAACCGGTCGTAAGTCGAGGACTTTCCCTGCCCGGGAGCGCCGCACATGCGTGGTTCCGCCCCCTGTGCCGGCCGAGGCGTAGCTGGCAAGCGGCAGAGACGGAGCAGGCCGACCACCAGCTGGCCCAGCTCAAGGGAGGTAAGGCACCCGCTGGAAAAGGGGAAAAAAATGGCGGACAGCCTTGTTTGGCGACCCCCGTGAAATGGTCAATCAACCCCAAATGGGGTCGCGACCCATAGGTTGAGAACTGCTGCTCTAGATATATTGGAAAATAATTCCAATTACATTTGGGGATGCTGAGCAAGCGTGGTAGAATTTGTTTTCCAGCACAGCTGAAGGGCACCAGATTGGGGAAAGTTGGCTTAAAGGATTCCAAAAGATCTGCCAAGCTAAAATGTACTCAACATACAAGGAACATCTACTAGATCTGTAAACAGGATGTCTTGCATCGTGTTTCCAAAATGACTTACCAGATGCCTCCGAGAAGCCCATCAGCAAGACAGGAAATTTGCCAACCCTCCCTGTGTTATTTTCCTGCAGGGATCTGTTAACTGGGAATTGATTTCCTTTGAACAGGGAGTTTCATTTATTTGTTGTTATTCTACGAGCATCAGTGTGACTAGCTTTATCTCCAGCACGTCCCCATTTTATACAGCTGAGTCTCAAGCAGATCAGAAAGGAATTTTGCCCTTCTTTGAAATGTAGTCCATATTGGCAGTAATCAATATGTGTTGATTGGAATCTCAGCGTGTTGGAATCTCAGAAGTGGGCACATACAAAATAACACATCCCTTAGTATCTTAACTCGTGACAGCATAACGATTTCTGAACCAAGATCGTGAAACAAAGAAGAATTTTGTAGAGCAGCTGGTTGCATGCCACAAACTGGAGAAGCACACTAAAGTTCCCAAGAAGTGTAAATTTTTAAAGGAGCACATACTTTATTTACAACACACTCTGCCATAAGAAGTGATGATGGTTACTATATATAAGTAGATAAATCCACATTCATAATTTAGTTTTCAGTCTTTCTGGTCTTGAATAGCCTCCTACCTAGGAAGCCTTTTCATCTAATCTGCTCTTGTATTCATTCAGAGGGTTAATATCAATTATTTCATGGTGGCTAAATAGAACCGCCATATTTACATATATATATATCTCTGAATAACAAATACTAGGAGTTGTGCAAACAATGTGGGGATTGGTTATGGGGGAAGATGTCGCCCAATACTTTGTTCTTACTATCTTGGAAACAAATACAAGTAGTCCTCGACTTACGACCACAAGCAAGCCCAAAATTTCTGTTGCTAAATGAGATAGTTGTTAAGTGAATTTTGCCCCATTTTACAACCTTTCTTGCAGCTGTTATTAAGAGAATCACTGGAGTTAAGTTAGCAACACGCTTGTTAAGTGAATCTGGCTTCCCCACTGACTTTGCTTGTCAGATATTCGCAAAAGGTTATCACATGGTCAGGAACACATGATCAGGGACACTACAACGATCATAAATATGAGTCAGTTGCCAAGCCTCTGAATTTTGATCACATGACCATGGGGATGCTGCAACAGTTGTAAGCATGAAAAACGGTCATAAGTCACTTTTTTCAATGCTGTGGTAACTTTGAACTAAGTGAACTGTTGTAAGTCGAGGATTACCCATAGTAGTCAACAATGCTCTCAATAGTAGCTAGGTGGACCATTTTACCTTTCCATAATCTGTGGGTTCCAGTTGAATTGGGACTGCAATTCCCATAATTCCAAATTCATACTGACTAGATCAGGGGTAGGCAACCTTGGCTCTTTTATGACTTGTGAACTTCAACTCCCAGAATTCCTGAGCCAGCCATGCTGGCTCAGGAATTCTGGGAGTTGAAGTCCACGAGTCATAAAAGAACCAAGGTTGCC